AATCTTACACTGATAAATTAGGTTAAGCTGTTAGTTCTTTGGTACGTAATATTAGAGCATAATAGATATATTTCCCTAAACCAACCAAGGTAGATATGCGGTTTAATTTGTACCAAACAATTGGATTAATTTAAAAGTACTTGGCGATTTGTAATAATATTCATTTATATATATTTTTTCTTAAATTTAGATATCTAGGGCATTGAAGAATGAAATGGAATTCGTCTTCTATTTGACGAGTTTTACAAACATCGCATAATCTATCCTCTCTACTTTTGCCTTGGTACCTTCCGCATTCTCTGTTAAGAGAATGAGACGAAAGTCTAATGCGGGAAATATGTTTTTTAAATTACTCTGAAAAGGTTTCGTTAAATAGGATTGCATTTTACAGAAGCCGTTCCATTCGGATGACCAACTTCGCTTTTTTCTGTCAATTTCTTGCGTATACATGTATATATTTTTGTTTTCCTTAATATTTTCACTATCTGTCCAATAATCGATGCTAAAAATATCAGAAATGAAAAAAAGCTGCTTAATTTGACGTTTTTGACATTGAGCTTTGGAGTGTTTCATGAACCGCGATTCTAAAATAAATATTAAATTCAAACAATTAAAACCAAACTTTTCTGACTTGGATTTTTATAACTGTTTATGGTATTTCAGTTAGAATGATTCAGTTTGACAAACGTCATTGTCCGCTAACTTTATGAATAACATTCGTATTTACCTCCATTGAATACTTTCTCCTCATTTCTTATGAAAACAACTTCCCTTATTCAATTCATTAACGCTAAACTGTTTTTATTTTTTTTCGAGGTCACAAAGATTTCTTAAGCAATGGGATGTTTTGATGTACAGATCAATAATAAAATATTTTACGTACGTAAACATACTTCATATGATTATTTATATAGACATAGATATAATTAATGAAATTTATTTTTTTTTCGGTTAATGCGGGATTAACGGTTACAATTATTGAGAAAAAAATAACATAACCCGCTCACGCTGGTTACTTCTGCAATAGTTGCAACCGTTATTTCCGGCATTAAAAACTAAGAAAGCGTTTTATTGTTTAATTAATAGTTCGATATTAATTCATGTCATAAAATGTTTACACAAGTTCCATCTTCACCTCGGAGTTTACTACGGCGAAATGGTAAATGACATGTACTTCTATAAACCAGATTTGACGTCGTTAGGCGAAATGGGAACAACCCCTTTTTTAATCCATTAATAAGCCTTGCAGCGACACCTGCGCTACTAACATACCAAACATTTTCGTCGAGGGCTACTTTATTTAAAAATTGTACCAGTTGATTCTCTGACCAATGTTCAAAAGTAGAAATTTTTCAAAGTTAAAGCATCTTTATTATTTTATTGACATCTTTATGCTGCTAGGATCACCTTTCCCGGGAATATTTTCACATTTATCATGGTGCACATAATTCATAGATATCACGGTAGCCATGCATGCAAATGTAAGTCATTTTAAAATCAATTTTGAATCGTGATAAATGTTCAGTGACGTTTACACCTAATTTCTAGGATCCCAAGTTGCAATGGTTAAATGTTATCACACAAAAAATTAAAATTAAAAGTTTGCTTAAAAACGGTCTATATTCAAACGAAAATGAACAGCGCTCGATGACCGACCCAATCTGATTGTAATACATGTAGGTCATCAGGGTTCTTTGCTTGATAAAAAAGACATTATTTTTGACCCGAACAAAATTAAAGCCTATGCATCACAAGCAGGCAGTAAATCGAGTCACGCCCATATTACAGGTAGTTTGATATAAAGGTTAATTCTGTTTTCCAACAGACCAGTGAGAGAAAAAAACTGAAAAGTAAATCTTCAAATAGGATTTCCTCCATTTATGTTAAACATTGAGCATAAAAGAAAAAAAAACACTTAAAGAACTGATCAACCTTACAGATGGTAAAGGTACGAATCTCTGCTGGACTAGGCATGAAGATTTGATCGTTATGAGTCAATGTTTGATGTCCAGATATACCCCTGGTATTTCCTAATCTAGCAATAACTGACCGTTTTTTTTCTCGGTCATTCTACACAATATAATGCAGAAATGAAATGACCCACTTCAGGTGAACAGGGCACGCAGGTGTTATCGTGGAGAGATTGGAATATCATTAAATGTTATCTATGTAAAATAAAATTATTGTGAGAAATAGAAAACCATAATTTCATTACAAACTATTGAATAATATACATTATTACCGAACCCACTATCTATATGTTATTAGGCATTTTGAACTGTTTCCTGATTCACTTTAATGTTTTTGCACATCATGATGTTTACATTTTCTGAGGGTTACCTCGAGACAACAGTTTCATCTTCCCATCGTAGTCATGAAATAAGTGTATATTAAAGCAAAAACTTGTTTTTAAGTGAAATAATGGATATTCAAATAAACATTGTAAAATATGTCATAATCATTTGGAAAATATTACACTTAATTTTGATTGTAAAATATTCTTAAAGTATATAGCACAGTTAGTGAATAATATGTTGGATATCATGTTTAATGGAAACGTATCCTTGTTGGTTTTTATTATGTTCAAAACAGCAAAATAAGACTGACAATCATTTTTTCTCTTTTATTGAATATATATTATATAAACACAAAATTATTGATAACATTGAAGAAAGTGACTATGCATTGATACATGCTTTCAAAGATTCTGGTCTGGATGCAAATGTTGTGGAAAAACTATAACAATGGAATTTTCTTTCAAAAAAAGTCTCTGATATTATAAATAATCTTTTTTTTTTAAATTTTCGAACAAACACTCGCTGTAGGATAGGTCAATCTTCCTGTAGAAAATTTAACCTGTAGGTGTTGTAAATCAATGGACTCCATAGATGTGAAAGAGTATGGCTCGGGTTTAAGGGGAGTGGTGTTCATATCCTTATATTGTAATTGTCTTAATAAATGTTTCTTAATCATTGCCATAATTGGATTTATGTCATAATATTACAATTTTTATATAAGAATAACTACCATTACAATGTACATTTTATATTCTTTTAGTCAATCAAAATATTTCAAATGATGTACAAACATGATTTCGATGCATACAAATCAGTTAAGGGTATTGTAAACGTTAAAATGTGTGCGTAGGTGAATTGTTTGCAAATTCTGCGATTAGAAAAGTTTTGCAAAAGTTATTACCACGCGAACGGTTTCATAAGGGATACCATACAAAGCAACAATCCAACTCATTTTGTAAATTCCGCGAACGGAAATCGCAAAAATTATGCACGTTTACAGTTTATGCATACTCACTTTCAATGATTGATTGATTGTTTATTATTTAACGCCGAATCGGCAATATTTCAGCCATATTTCGGCGGCTTACTTTCGTACGCTACAGTATATACAGGTACGAGTTATCCCGCATTGCTATGTAATTACTGTAATCACTTATACGATGCATATAACTAATGCTGCCTATTTTTTCGTCAAGATACTTTGAAAAATTATTTTATGCTACTTTTATAAGTTCTAATGAAACATCACTACTCTTTTCAAAATTAATCCCAGATATTTTTTTTATCTCATGATAAACTATTGCGTAAAATAAAAATTATATCTTCAACCCTATGCAGTTTCTGTATAGAAGAAAATACAAGAGAACACAAGTTTTATTATTGTACTTGTATTGAAACATTTTGGAACCATTTTCTATCATTGTGGAATGACCTACATATTCTTCACATGGATAATTTATCCTCTCCAAACATTGTATTAGGCCTGTAAAAGAGAAAATGTGATAGTCTGGCGCAGTGGTTAGAGCGTTCGCTCTAGAGTCGCGGAGTAAGGACTTGATCCTTACGTCGCGGGTTCGAATCCCACTGTGGGACATGGAGACCGCTTCTTCGGATGAGACCGTATAAACCGAGGTCCCGTGTCGCAGTAGGTGCTGGCACAAAAAAGATCCCTCATTGCTCAATGGCCCTCAGCGCCGAGTGTAGGTCAAAATTTGCAGCTCTCCACCGGCAAGTGGTGGCGTCTCCATATGAGTGAAAAATTCTCGAGAGGGACGTTAAACAATAAACAAACAAACCATGGCATCACCATTCATCAAATAAAAATACGATAAAGACAGTTATGAATCTCAAAGTAGTCTACTCGCTAGCCAAGTTATATTAAAATCAGACAAAACTGTACGAGGAGGAATATATTGAAAGTATTTCTTCATCGAACCGATACATATTATGTATCTTAGTGCAGACTCCTAGTGTGCAAAAATATACTGGAATCAGACCAAAACTGTTGGAGGAGTTGCGTTTTGAAAGTTTCAAGGAAATTTTTATTTTTAGTAGCCATGGCAACACCGTTCATCGAAATCAAAAAGAACTATGTACCTTAATGAAGTCTACTTTGTGTGCCAAGTTATGTTGAAATCAGACCAAAATTATAGGAAGAATAGCGTTTTGAAAGTATTTTAAAGACATTTCTAGTTTTGGTAACCATGTAAACACTGTTCATCAAAATCCAATACACAGAATTATGTATCTTAGTGCAGTCTACTTGTGTGCCAAGTGCAAGTTATATTGAAATCAGACCAAAAAATGTAGGAGGAGTAGCATTTTGAAAAATTGTTCACAGACGGACGGACAGACGGCGGACACCTTTACTATCGCATAAGCCCGTCTAATCTCTGACCAGTTGAGCTAAAAATCAGTGTTTTGCTCTAATAGTAACTTAGACATTTTTAAATAAAACTTAGCAACCAATACTAGATGCATTATAATTGTTATTAAAGAACCCATTGTATTATTTTAGTATGTTCCACACTTTTTATGATTTGTAAGATATTCAGTCTTGTATGATGCAGATTGACATCATTGTATAAAGAACAAAATATTGCATGTAACATTGTTTTTGAAAAAAAAAAATGCCAAAAAAAATTTATTTTTCTCGTCAAAATTGCATTGCTAAACAATTCAAAATAGTCTTTTTCTTGCTAGGAACATGAGAGATGAAGGACGAGGAATGCTCAAAATACATCATTTGGGCCAGTGTGACAACTTCCATCGTAGCCTGTGGTATTTTTTTTCTTATGTGGCGATGTGTCTCTCGCCGTAAGCGTAACAGGCGAGAAAGTGGGCCCTCTGTCTCCCAGCGAAACCATTGTCATGACTGTATGCAACATGACAAATCTTACTGTGGTGAATTTCCAATATCGCACAGGAGAAATGATATACATGTAGAACAGAGTGTTCATTGCCGGAATACTGCTGATGAAAGGCCGCTTCCTTCACTTCGGACTTATCAGTCTCCTGTTTTGTATCCTAGTCCGGTACCAGCCGGCGTTTTGTCGACAGTAAGCGGGAATGTCTCTCCGATGCTTAACACTTCCTTTAGAGAGCCAGAAGAACATTTAAACCATGACATTCAAAATCAAACTTTAAATGATTTGGGCACGTCGTCTTCGTCTTGTTCGGTAAGTGGTGAAACGTCAAACCGCTTCACCAGACCTTTCTTTTACAGTAATGACATGTATACCGTTTCAGAACGAAGCAAAATGAAAACAGTGGGAGGAAAACTCATTGTATCGGTTGCCCATAATGTGACTTCGAGTGGAGATTGCCTGATGCTAGACGATATGGGTATATCCCTATATATACCACCAAATGCAATTCCAAATGGAGAAGAAACTCTCGTATGTCTTGTTCTGAATTGGGATCTAGGTGATAATCCTTATATGACTGAAACAGAGTCTCTTGTGAGCCCGGTGGTATTTGTAGGGCCACATGGACTAAAACTGCGGAAGCCCTGTGAATTACGTTTTCGACATTGTGCTTACGATCCACGTCATATCGTTGTCATGCGCAGTGAAACTGACCTCTATGGCGACAAATCGTGGATGGAAATGTACAATCAAGAAAATCAAGATGATAAATGTAGTCTCTCGTCCGATGAATGCAGATTGAAAATCAATACTTTTACATTGTACACATGCATTCTAAGGCCATTGAGGAATTTGAAAATGGCAAAGTGGTTACAAATTGCAGCTTTCTCTAACCCTCTGGAAAAGCGCATCGACCATCATGAGGTACTCTTTTTACTCGAGGGGCTTTATAATTTATCTTTGATTTCTTTTTATTGAAGTAATTCTCTCGTCCGAAAACAATTCTTTGGTTTAGTTATCTGCACTGAAACTGATTGTAATGTAAAATGTATCACGAGCGTTGATAACCCTAATGGTTTTTGACATCACATTTTTTTTACTTGCTCGACGTAAATTAGTAATCCCCTCAAATAATGCATTCAAACAAATGAAGATGAAAGAAGGCTCGGGTTCGATTCTCGTGTCCGGCACCGCGTCAAACAAAAGATGACGTAAGTATCATAGTAGTGAATGTTCCTTCGCCAAGCATCTTGTATTAAAAGTGAAAGTTACGGGTCTATCGGATATGACTTATAAATAGAGGTCATGGTAGTCATTGGCATGGTTAAGAACCATTACTGCTACAACTGTAAGCGCATAGGTCAGAATTCTTGGTATTTTACCTAAAGCTGGTACATGTAACATAAGTGAAAAAAAAAACATCAGGAATTGGACTGATACAGTTGCCAATCGAATTAGGACATTGAAATTGCTTCAGCATATTTGTTTTATGTGTTCAATCAATAAGTTTTGTTTGTTTATTGTTTAAAGTCCCTCTCGAGAATTTCTCACTCATATGGAGACGCCACCAATTACCGGTGGAGAGTTGCAAATTTTTGACCTACACTCGGCACTTAGGGCCATTGAGCAGTGAGGGATCTTTTTCGTGTAAGCACCTACTGCGACATGGGGCCTTGGTTTATACGGTCTCATCCGAAGGACCCAATCAGTAGGTAGCAACAGTTTATTTGCATCGAAATGAAAGTTAGGGTCTCTGGGACGATACCTTAAAAACCGAGCCTCCATGTAACAGCTGGTGTTGGCTCGGTAAAGATGCGTCATTGCTCAATGGCCCTGAGTGCCGTGTAAAGGTCGAATTTCGAAGTCCTTTACCGGCATACGGTGATGTCTTATATGAGTGAAATCTTGCAAGGAACGTAGACTCTAAGAACTGTAGTCAATTAATTACCTCTAGCGAGAAATAAAGTAATTTTGCAAGACAGTTTTGAATACCTGGACATTCGCTTAAACGTTGTCCGTTGTTAGTGTGTTTTACTGTAATCCCTCTTGGCGTTAGGTGTGTCATGTGCAATTAACAATCAATGAATCATAAGTACATGTAAAATACGTTGCGGATAACTGTTGGTATTCAGTGTTATTAATCCCCTACCGTTGAACCAGAGGGTATTTTAGGTTTCTTCCTCGTCTGTCCGTCCGTCTGTCTTTCCCTTTGTCTGTTCCATTTGCATTTTTTTCGCACCTTTGCAGATATTGACCTGATTTCTGATGAGTTATCTGAATTACAGATCAAGTTTGCTTTTCGTTTTTGATTTTTGACGGAACTGTAGCCTCTTCAGTTTTTATGAGGAACCAGATTACACTTGCTGGTAGAAGACTAGGATCACTTATGCAATACTGAAGAATACTTGTTTGTTGAAGAAACTACCAAGTTTAAAATTGAACCACAAAGACCCTATACTAAATCCTTATATCAAGACCTTCCAGTTTTATTCACTTCATCAATCTTGAATTACTTCTGTTTTCTTTAGGTAAGGGTTTACTTTCTAAATAAAACTCCTTGTGCTTTGCAATGGGCGATTCAAAATGAAGCTCATTTTCAACACGAGCTTTTGTGTCCAGAGAAGGCTTTTCTGTTCTACGGTCAAGTAGAAGACATCTTAGACGTCAGAGTGACATTGAAGTAAGTATTTACATTGTACATCATGCAGATTTTTTTTAAAATTATTTTTTAAATCAATTATTGTGTATTATTTGAATTTGTCCACCATGCATTATGAACTTCGCATCTGTATATGGGTGCTGCATTGTTAGGATTGTTGTAAGCACAATGATAATTAGATAAATGGAAGTATCCACGTACCTCCTTTAGTGTAAAGATTTTATTTTTTTTTCAGTTCTATCTTTTTTTAATAAGTATCAAAACAATTTCAATTCCTTTTTTAAATATTTTTGTGTGATACAAGATTAAGAAAACAAATTACATGATCTTAATGATCTTAGAATGAAAGATTTTCAGTGGGAAAACGATCTAAAAACAAGTATTTGAGTATGCCATGTTGGTAATTTTGTCTACTTTTTTTTTTCTATCTTCAGACAATACAATGTAACTTTATAGAATCTTTGCTAATCAACCAAAAAGAAAAAAAAAACATTCAAAGATCTGTCTTTGAATTGAATGGGACTTTTGAAACTGCTTCTTATCAAACTAAAACCACTCTACTAAGAAAAGATATTTAATTGCAAACAATATGCAAAAAAAAAAAAATCAGATTTGTTTAAATTTCAATTTCAGAATCGTTGAACAAAATCTCTGTGTACATATCCTCAGTATATGCACCTAGCCTCCAAGTTGATATGGATAGGTTTACAAGGTACACTTGTAATTGAACGTATATCGATCGTTGTTGATTTAAATGGTATGATCAATTGCAATTCAAGTACTATTTAACCGATTTTCCTTGGGAAAAATTTGGTTGTTGAAATGGAGAAAAAGCTAGAAAGGTACATCATTTGTCCTGATAATACTCCTCTTACTGTTTTCAACATAGGAACTTTTATTTAATATAGCAGATCAATTAATATACATACATGTATATCGGAGATGTGCATATTACTTGGATTTTGATTTTAGTAATTTATGAGGAAAAAATACCAGTTTGGACTCGGTCATTTTTTATGCAAAATATTGCATATAGAGTACATCATTTGTTCGCATAACTCTTCAAATAGGAAGGTTTGATTTGCAGATCAATTGTACGTATATCAGAGATGTGCATAGTACAATGTACTTGGATTTTGATTTTTAATTATTTAAAAAAAAAAACATTAGCCGATAATCAAAACTTGTTCAATTTTAAGCAAAATATTGTGTATCTGGTAGATCATTTGTCCTCCTCCTACAGTTTCCATCATAAAAAACTCGAGCTCTTTTTTTCGGGTCAATTGTACGATATATCAGAGTTGTGCATATTACTTGTATTTTGATTTTTATTAAGGTCGAACTAAACGTTTCTCGAATATCTTTTTTGTTTCTCTTCGCAATGTATAACAAATAAATCATAATTATCATTATCTTGCGATTTTTAAACTGTTCTCAAAATGTCTTAGTAGATAAAGACACCGAAAAATGTTATATTGGCAGTGGTAGTGATTTCTAATAGGATTATGTAGCAAATAACATCCTCTGGTATCTTGCGAATATGCTCACACAGTTATTCATGACAATTTTAACATTATTTTTACCACATATATGTAGTTTCAAATAGTAATGATCACGTTAAAACTTTGTCATTTCTCGGTGGAAACATGTATACGAACTACGAAGATGTAAAATTGAACATGGCGTTACAGGTTATCAACTGAGTATCGGGAAATATATGCATGCCCGCCCGAGGTCGTTGCGCGGTAAAGCGGGTCGAGCTTGCGAAGTCATTGACTACTTGTATATGATGTTTTAAAGTATTAATCACTGATTTTTTTCCAGATATTTGTCACCCGAATGGGAAAGTATAGAAAACGACGAATACGAACGTGTTCCTTACCTTCATATCTGGCACGGACAGTGTCCACATATTAGTATGTGTTTCAAAAAGAAAGCTCAATATTCAGTTCGTGAGCTGAATTTTCACCTGAACATATATCAGGAAACACTTGAAAATGAGGGTGAAAAAATCGTTGTGCATGCAACAGAGGAATCAAAAAGAATTGTAGATAATACATGTATAATCAATATTAACGCTAGTCAAAAACATGAAAGTGTTCCAATACCTAGCGTGGAGGTCAACAGAACTGAAGACAGGGTAAATGTGTCTGTAAATCCAAACCAGAGTTGTTCAGTGGCATTTCTGGAAGAAGTGTGTAAAAGCAATAATTCTAGACATTATATTTCATATGACCTCAGAAATCAACTCAAAATCAAACTTGATCCCCTGACCCCCCTTGGAAATGATTGGCGCCAACTCGCAGAGTTCCTGGAGATGACCCCGTGTATTAACTACTTGAGCAGTATTAAGTCCAGTCCCACCGAGGTGCTCCTGTGTGTAGCTGAGCATCGCAATATTCCTCTTGCAGAACTTGCGGTAAATAAAATTAATAATACATTTATGAATTAAAAATTCAAGAGAAAATTACATTATTTTTCAAATAGCGTGCGGTTGATTATGTTTAACTAATAGATGTTTACAAAAATGATCAAAAATTTGTTTTACTCACCATGTACATGTATTTCTTGCATCTTTTAATGTTTTACTTCTTCATCCAAGATTTTTTGAAACATAAGCTCCGTGTTATCTTTGAATTTTACTTGGGATCGTTGTTAATTTCTTATATGACTAAAATATGCTTTCTCGATTTCTTGTTCAGGTGGTCAGTTGTTTTTAGAGGGGGTCTTTTGGATAGTGTTTCGATTCACTGCTGCTGGTCGTCTAAGGAACCCCAGAAATAATGTGTCAATGTGTAAAGTGATACTTCTTTTTCATTTTCACTTTGTGGCTTAATTCTTTTCAAATTTTCTGCATTGCGCTTGATTCTGGTGTCATTTTGGGACTATAATTTTATTTTCCTTTTGCCTCTTGAACCACGTTACTATATAATGTCATTGTGTCACGTTTGTCTTATTTTTTCCCAGTGATTTTAAGAGGGCTTTTGATTTGAAAGCCTAAATTCAGCCCAAATACTAATATTTAATTGAAAATACCCCCTACTTTTTGCTTTTGTAAAAACTGACTTTTCTCACATTGGAAGTCAAGAGTTATCTTTCGTTTATTGAATGACAAACATAAAACACAAGTTGCATGTATTTAAAATTTGGATTGATATTATGATAGTTACCATCATTATATACTTATACGAAAGCTGTAAAATTACATTGTAATGTAAAGAAGTTACTTTCCTTTTGATTCAGATTGATATAAGCGTAATTTGTGCATTAATTAATTAAAATTTTACATGCACATTGTATGTGTGTTGATGAAAAAGAAATATAGTGCGATTATTGTGTAAAAAGAATTGTGGCTATTAATCTAAAGAAGTTTCTAATAAAATAATGTTACTCTGGCACATCGTCAAAACACCGATAGATAATAAAAATGCTTCTTTAATGTATATATATATATATATATATATATATATATATATATATATATATATATATATATATATATATATATATATATATATAATATGACGCATTTTAGCTTTTCAATAGTGCAGTCTCTTATTATTTTTCTTCCATATCAAAGTCTGGTTCAACTGATGTGATTCCTTAATGTGCATCTAGAAAAGTCTTCGTTTACTCTCAAGTTTGCTCTGTTGTGGCTTTCTCTTTGAAATCCTTCAATTGTCAGTAAATGGCGATAAAGTGATTCAGTGTCTACAACTTCTGATGAAAGTGATTACTAGTACACAACTCTACACTGGTTCTTAGCTTTCAAACAGAATAATTATTATAATGATGAAGAACTCCTTTGTTCATAGATGAATATATTTGATAAACATGATCACCATCAATGTAATAAACTTTTCATTATTTATTATTATCTTTATGTAATGACAGTAAAGGGCTGTTTATTTAATGAACCGGTATTCGTAACGACGGTTTATTAAATTATTAGTTTTCATCAATCAAAATGATTTGATGGGTCTGAAACTTGACACTTCCCACTGTTATTCAATGATCATTGACTTGAATAATTAATTAGAATATATATATATATATATATATATATATATATATATATATATATATATATATATATATATATATATATATATATAAACTTATGCGCATGTAACTTTTGTAGGATGCGTTGACCAAAATGAAGAGATATGATGCAGAGCGCATTATTCGGAATTTCCTATCTGATCAAAACCAGCTCGATTCAGATCTCTATGCCAGGGGTGGACATCAACACGACGAACGAAAAGTGCATCGACTGAACGAATTTAGTTATGAAAATCTTTCATATAAATAATGCCAAATTTTAAATAGATATAAATAAAATCTAAGAGTTTAATTTAAGCTAGTCAAGATTTTCGTAGATTTTGTTCATTTCATTCTAGATAGTGAATTTGCAACACAATAGTTTTGTATTGACATGTTTTGTCATAACAGTCTATATACAATTATTTCTACTACATTCTTTTTTTCACTTGTTTTTGGTTTTAACTTCATGTACATCATGAATACTGTGAAATATTGTTTTGGTATGTCTTCGCCATATCTTCGACTGTCTGTGGAAATAAACATTGCTCAGGACTTCAAGTTATAGGAAACAAGACTTCATAAAAAATAAACCCGCCAAAACAGATCAAATCGAATTTGTTACTAGAGAGATATTATACTATTAGATGCATAGAATTGTATTTGTCTTTCATATGTATTGCATTGTTTTCCTCTCTTTTTATTTATTTATTTTTATTTTTTGAGCTTTAGTGTTGAAAACTATATGTTGTTTATTTATATCCCAGATATCGAAATCGTAGACATTGTTGATGACCCATCTTTTTGTCAAATTAATAGAAGACAATTTTAATCTTACTTATATATTTTGCGTAAACAGCAGCCAAACCTCATACATGTACATGCATGTAGACAGCTGACCCCAAACTAGTGTCGTTTAAGGATAAATAACACATTTTTTCATAAATAAGCAATACCTCATATAGATTAATTTTATATTTAATATATAATATAATAACGTATGCTAGGACAATTGTAAAATTTTGTAAAATATTGTAATAATGTTAAAAAATGTGTCCAAAATTCTGTATAGATTTGCATAGAAAATGGCACAAAGTCACATATTTCGGAAATTTTTTTATTTATGTTACGTATCCTTTTAAAAAAGGTAAAATAATTTGAAACATAGAACCTAACTACATAGAGAGAGAAAAAATAGGAACATATTAAGTAGACTACGATCAGCAAGAGTTTAATGATCCTACCACAAGGGTATTTGGATAAGTTCATAGAAACTGGAAAATGTTTGTTCTAATCAATTAATAATTTTATATGGCAGCTCATACATAGTATGTACATTTAGGTATATCTAGGTTATCATCAGAAAATGTGTCAGGACTTTGAAAATTGGTTATTTGGACAACATATTCAGCCAAAAAAGTTCTCATTACAAAGTTATACTACAGAGTCATTCGTGTTTCACCAACGCTTTTTGTTTGTCCATATAACAATGTTAAAGGGAAAAAAAGAGTATACACAGTAAACTAAAAAGTTTTTTTTATTAGTATACAATATTAGTTTAAGTGATAACGGTAAAAGTTGGCCCCTCCTTTGACATAAAAAATCAGATATCAAGGTCAAACCAGACGTCTCTAACGAAAATGCAGCTTTACTGGTGTGCACTTATAGTAAAGAAAGAAGTATCTTTGTATAGTCTACTTGTGTACCAAGTCTTACTGAAATTGGATAAACTGTTGGAGGAGGAATTACACAGATATTTCTATTTTTAGTAACCAAGGCAACACTGTTTATTATTGAAAACTGATAGAGATTATAGACGGGTATCTTAGTGTTGTCTACTTGTGTACAAAGTCATATTGAAATGGAACTAAAACTGTAAGAGAATTAGCTTTTTGAAAGAAATTCACAGAAATATCTGTTTTTTATCCTCATAGCAACATTGCTTATCAAAAATCTAAAAACCGATTTACAGAATCATGTATCTTAGTGAAGTCTACGTATTGAAATTGGACCAAAACTGTAGGAAGAGAAAGGTTTCGGAAAAGAAAATCATGGAAATATCTACATTTAGTAACCATTGCAACACCCTGTGACGAAATCAAAAACCGATATTTGGTATTATGTATATTATTAGTCTACTTGTGTACCAAGTCTTTTTTTTTTTTTTAAATCAGACCAAAACTGTAGGAGGAGAAAAATTTGAAAAGAAGACAATTTTATTTTAAGCAACAAAGGCAACACATCGTCTCGAAATCAACAACGGAAATTTAGAATTACATTTTTTATGTATCTTAGTACAGTCTACTTATATACGAAGTCTTACTGAAATCAGACCAAAACTGTAAGAAGAGTAGCGTTTTGAATGAATTTCGAAGAAATTTCTATTTTTAGAAACATGGCAACAACGCTTTCGAAATTAAAAACCGATGTTTAGAATTATATATCTTAGAATGGTCTACTTGTGTACCAGGTCTTGCTGAAAATCGGACCACAACTGTAGGAGAAGTACCGCTTTGAAAAATTATTTGCAGACAGACGGACGGACACCTTACTAGTGCATAAGCTCTAAGGCTTCTTGTTTCTGACCAATAAAACTAAAAAGGAGCAATTTTCGAATTATCCTCATTTTTGTCACCATATGCTACGTATTTTATTGCTTTGAGCGTAAGTGAGTTTTTGATTTTCCAATTAAGATGTGTCCGATACTTAAATGGATGAAAAATGTTAATTTGATAGATAAGCTTACATGGACACATTTTGTCTGAAGCAATATATGTACCCTATTTATTGATGAAAATGTACTCTTAATATTGATGAAAGTTCATTAAATTTGAGAAAGTGCAGGAACATGCACTGCTATGAACTATGGATACAAACTTATCGTTCAATTTAACGTGCACAAGAAAGTAGGAAAACGTTACTGCGAAGTTCCTAATTTGTTAAATTACTTCTTACTGTACGAGGTGGAGGTGTATACCATGTGCCATTTGAGCTCTTCAAATTTTGAATACTTATTGCTTTACGTCCCTTGAAAGATTATTTCACGCATATGAGACGTCAGCGTATTCCGGTCAAGAACTTCACATACAGACCTGCTAGATGAAATCCCGCGTAGGCGCGGGGAATTGAATTTTTGCCTTCTTGGTGACGAAATAATATACTTGTAGTTTCTATTGACAGTAAACGGCAGTCTTGTAGCACGAAGGAATCAAACTGTCCCATCCCCCACCCCCTCTTTAGTAACATTTAGTTACAGTAGGAACAGAAGTACATAAATACACCCTCTTGTTTAGTTTTGTTTTCTTTGTTTTTTGTTTCTTCCTTTGTTTTTATAAAAACTTTCTTTTTACATTTACATGTATGCATATTAAGACCTAAAATTTAATAGAAAAAATAAGCATTTCATTCCGAAAAACCCCCCAGAAGTCTCTGTCGAGACTGTAGCTATACTGGTTTGTACTTATAACAATTAAGGAAGCGAAAAGTAGCACTTGGACTTGAAACTTTGCAACAGCAATAAATAAATAGTAATCCATGTTTACTCTCTTTTTGTGGCAAGATGAATTGAATAAGACTAAAACTGTAGAAGGAGTAGCCATTTAAAAGAATTTTAGAGAAATTTTGATTTTAGTTACCATGGCAACATTATTCATCAAAATGAAAAAAAAACAATTAAGACAATTATGTATCTAAGTGTAGTCTACTAGCATGCCATGTTATATTAAAATCAGACCAAACTGTAGGCAAAGTAATGTTTTGAAAGTATATCAAAGAAATAAAAAAAATTTGTAACCATGGCAACACTTCACCAAAATCAAAAAATTGATATACAAAATTATGTGTCTCAGTGTAATCTAATTGTGTGCCAAGTTATATTGAAATCAGGCCAAACTTGTAGGAGGAGTAGCATTTTGAATGTATTTCACAGAAATTTCTATTTTTAGTAACCATGGCAACACCGTTCACCGAAATCAAAAACCGATACACAGAATAATGTATCTTAGTATAGTCTATTTGTGTACCAAGTTATATTGAAATCAGACAAAAACTGTAGGAAGAGTAGCATTTTGAAAGTATTTCACAGAAATTTCTACTTTTAGTAACCATGGCAACACCGTTCACCGAAATCAAAAACCGATACATAGAATAATGTATCTTAGTGTAGTCTACTTGTGTGCCAAGTTATTTTGAAATCAGACCAAAACAGTAGGAAGAGTAGCATTTTGAAAGCATTTCACAGAAATTTCTACTTTTAGTAACCATGGCAACACCGTTCACCGAAATCAAAAACCGATACACAGAATTATGTATCTTAGTGTAGTCTACTTGTGTGCCAAGTTATATATTGAAATCAGACCAAAACTGTAGGAGGAGTAGCATTTTGAATCTATTTCACAGAAATTTCTATTTTTAGTAACCATGGCAACAGCGTTCATTGAAATCAAAAACCGATAAAGAGAATTATGTATCTTAGTGTAGTCTACTTGTATGCCAAGTTATATTGAAATCAGACCAAAACTGTTGGAGGAGTAGCATTTTAAAAATTGTTTACAGACAGACAGACGGACGGACACCTTACTATCGCATAAGCTCTTCTGGTCTCTGACCATTAGAGCTAAAAATCAAATGAAATTTATTTATCAAAGCACAAATTTTTAACAGTTTTAAAAAATGTGATAATTTAGCCGAAGGTATCATCTTTACTTCACATAATTCAAGGTGAACAATATCATATTCATTAATTGACATTTTCTCTTGACATGTAAGCAACGTTATTTTAGATACTAGCTGTATAAACGAACCATACAGACATGTATTTTAACACATGTCGAATATTCCATGTACGAGTGAATAGATCTACTACATAATGAACGATAACTCGTACTATAAACGCCTACCTGAACATTGTACCGTCTAGCGTTTATAAACACATTGTACATCGTGTGCTCAGTTTTCATTCCCATCAAGGATTTAAAAAAACCCCGAATATTCATTCTTTTTCACTTTGCCTCTTTTTTTTTTAAACATTGAGTTCGATGCAATGACTCTATAAAAATGTCCATCAAGACCATGATCGGCTACCGAGGAAAACTCTTTACACAATTTGTTTTACTCAGTGAACACAACTTATAAGTTTGTTCAATACCACTTAAGTCAAGATTTGAGTGAATAATTCACTCGTGACGTTTTATCAAATATTAAACGATTGTTAGTTTCAGTTTCATTAAAAATTGCCAATAACTTTGATCCGCCAATGCGTGTCCACCACAA